CTTTGATACCAGGCAATCTTTCCCTCCCTTGTTCTTCCCCAGCAGTTCCAGGACAAGGCCATGGGATGATCCAGAACTCTGCTTTTGCTGTTTGGCTCCTCCAATCACAGCCCAGAGCTGAGGTTTTGGGCCACAATGTCACACATGCCTTTGATCCCATCCCACAGGGAAGCTGGCAGCCTGGGGATGCTGTTGCAATGCTGTTCTCCAGCTCTGTACCTGGCCATGGATCCTGCTGACCCTGCCTTGCCACTCTGGCCCTGCTGGGTCATCACTGGGTCAGCCCTGACCCTCTCTGCAGACCCACCATCCCAGTCTGACCAGGCTAGAGAACAGCACTCCAGCAGAATTCAATCCTCTCATCGTGTCAGCTGATTGGAGAAAGAGCCCAACCACCAAAATACTACCTCCTTATTGGAATTATCCTTATTGGATAATTCCTTATTGGAATTATCCTGAGTTTCATTTCCAAAAATGGGGGAAAAGGCCACAGCACAGCCCATCCAGGGGGCTACTGGAGACAAAGGCCATAGGACAGCCACAGCACAGCCCATCCAACAGGCTACTGAGGAAAAAGGCCACAGCACAGCCCACCAGTGGGCTATGGGGAAAATGGCCACAGGACAGCCAGCCCAGGGGGCTATGGGGAACATGGCCACAGCACAGCCATGTCCTGTGTACCCCATAGTCCTGATGGGCTACTGGGGAAAAAGTAGCCACAGGACAACTCTCCCAGTAGGTTATTGGGGGAAAAGGCCATAGGACAGCCACAGCATGGCCTACCCAGTGAGCTGGTGTAGACAAAGGCCATAGGACAGCCCTCCCAGCAGGCTACTGGAGGCAAAGGGCCACAGCACAGCCCACCCAGAGGGCTGCTAGGGAAAAAAGCCACAGGACAGCCCATCCAGGGGCTGCTGGGGGGAAAGGCTACAGGACAGACACAGCACAGCCCACCTAGCGGGCTGTTGGGGAAAATGGCCACAGCACAGCCTTCCCAGCAGGTTAGTGGGGACAAAGGCCACAGCACAGCCCTCACAGTGGGCTACAGGGGGGGGGAAAGGCCACAGTGCATCTCACCCATGGGGCTACTGGCAGAAAAGGCTACAGGACAGCTCACCCAGTGGGTACTGGGGACAAAGGCCACAGATCAGCCCTCCCAATGGCCTGGTAGGGGGGAAGACCACAGCACAGCCCAGCCCTCCCTAGGGCTGATGGAGATAAAGGCAACATCACAGCCACAGCACAGGCCTCCCAACCAGTTACTGGGGGAAAAGGCCGCAGCACAGCCCACACAGTGGGCTACAGGGAAAAAGGCCACAGGACTGCCCTCCAAGGGGCTGCTAGGGGGAAGTGCCACAGCACAGCCACAGCACAGCCCTCCCAGAGGGCTGCTGGAGATAAAGGCCACTGACCAGCCCACCCAGGGGGTTGCTAGGGGGAAAGGCCACAGGACACCTCACCCAGCAGGCTACCGGGGGACAAGGCCACAGGACAGCCAGCCTAGGGGGCTACTGGGGAAAATGGCCACAGGACAGACACAGCAGAGCCCACCCAGCAGGCTACTGGGGAAAAAGGCCGCAGCATAGCCCAGCCCCCAGCCCAGCCCAGCCCAGCCCTCACAGGGGCTGCTGGAGATAAAGGCCAAGCACAGCCCCAGCCCAGCACAGCCCTCCCAGCAGGCCACAGGGAAAAGGCCACAGGACAGCCCAGCACAGCCCTGCCAGGGGCTGCTGGAGATAAAGGCCAAGCCCAGCCCAGCCCAGCCTGGAGCTGCAGGCCGCAGCAAGCCAGGGCCCTCCTTCACTCCCTCCATCCCTCCCTCGCTCCATCCGTGACTCACCCAGGCTCTNTGCTCTGGGCACCCTGTGCCAGGGCCTCAGCACCCTCACAGGGAGGAATTCCTTCAATGATGCTTTCCTTTCTGCTACCTCCACCTCAAGGGGCATCCAACCAACTTTGAGCACATCAGGCCATTCAAAACTTTTGGTTTTTCATGTTTTATGAAGGGATTTTATGAGGAAATGTGGACAGCTGGGTCCACACCCCATCAAAATCCAGAGCCTACAAAGTGATCCAAAGGAACATCCTGCTGACTTGGGTATAACCTGGAAAATCCTCTGCAGGAGCACAGGGAGGCTGCAGCAGTGCTGCATGAGCTGAGCAGGAGGAGCACAGGCTGCACACACAGGACACAGCTCTGGAGGGCATGGACACACTCCCACTGCCCAGGCCTTGCTGTGCAACTCCTTGGTGCCTTTCAGGCTCTGTCAAGAGAGGCAGGTAGATCAAAGGCAGCTGAGTTGGCATCTTGTCCAGGACATGAACAGGACACCCAGCTATCACACAGTCCTTCTGCCTCCTTCTGGAATTCCAGGCCTTTGGGACCAGCAGAGATCAGAGGTTTTCTGAGAGGAGGTTTTCTCCACAGCAAACCTTTCATCTCTCTCTTCAGCTAAGTGAGCAGGTACTCCCTGTCTCTTGGCCACATCTCCTCTGTCTGGAGCACCACAAGGAGCTCCTGGGCTCCCCCAGGCCCTCTCCATCCCATCTCAGGCTGCACATGTGGGCAACATCTGGGCTGGAAGCGTTCCTGGCAGGCTGAGCTCTGCCAGGTCTGCAGCTCCACTCTCTGGAGCCCGAGAGAAGTGAGCAGAAGTTTCTGGTATCTGGATAAACCTCAGAGGAAGCAGCATGGCCTCAGCACAAATTCCCACATCAGGCTGTGCCAGCAGCACGGTGGGAATGGGCTGCAAATTGCTTTCCTGGGTGCCCATTGCTGCAGCAGGCTTGGAAATCACCATTTTTCATTAAAAATCACCATTTTTCATTAAAAATCCTCTCTCCAGTTCCAGTTCTCAGCTTGGAGCTGGTGACACCTCAGAACAATCTGAAAAAGCAAAGCTGCAGCTGGGGGGATTTGCTTGTTGGTTCTCATGCCACAGCAGTGCAGACATGGGGGAAGTTCTCTCATTTAACATCTACTGGTCTGGAGATCTGCTCTCCTGACAGGCTGAGGGTGAGGCTGCTCCTGAAGGGAATCACT